CAGGCAAAGGTTTCCATATCGGTGCAACGAGATCAAGACCAGCAGAGCGGCAGGACGGAGGTCACCGTGGAGCCCACCATCACCAGCACCTTTGGCAGACGAAGACCACCTGTAGTCAGGATTGCTTATACTAGTTGTCCCCTTTCGAAATGGTTGTTGTTGGATCCCTTCCCGCTCATTATTTGGGAAGAGGACCAGGGCCTCTATAAATAGGGCTAGCCACCATAGCAGGAAGGGGGGATCCTTCCCAAGCAGAACAACACACCACCACAAGAACACCTCTCCTCGCGAGGCTGTTCTTTCCTTGTACTGTTCATCATCAGCCCAAGAGGCAATCCACCACACCACACTGGAGTAGGGTATTACACCACGACGGTGGCCCGAACCAGTATAAGTCTTGTGTCTCTTGTGCTGTGAGTTCATCGATCTAGTTTAGGAATCGCGGCGAGGCTGAGGGCATGAATCGGTAGGAGGAGATCTTTGTACGCAGCCCAGAGTTCTAACCTTAAGGGTTTTGCTGGAACCCGATACCCGACAAATTTCATGTTTAACATAAGGAACTATAACAAGTTCATCTCCATAAGCATAATTCATATTGGCATCTTGGCCACAAGCATAGCAAGCATCATCAAAAAGGGATATTTCAAGAGAATCAACGGGATTATAACAATCATCATAGCAATCATCTTTCGGTAAGCACGAAGGGAAATTAAACAATGTAGTAGTTGAAGAGTTACTCTCATTAGAAGGTGGGCACGGGTAGCTAATCCGCTCTTCCTCCTTTTGTTCTTCGCTCTCCTCATCATCTTTTTCATCCAATGAGCTCACAGTTTCATCAACTCCTTCTTCCATAGACTCCTGCAAAATATTAGTCGCTTCTTGGACAGCGGGGACTTTCTCAATAAATGCATCAATATCGGAATTGTATTCAAAATTCTCATAACAATATTTAAGTATAACAAAATTTTCAGGTCTGTAAACATTATCATCAAGATTTTCACACACTTTAAACAAAGATTCAATTTCATAAGCACCCATCAGAGCAACGAATTCTTCTATTTGTTCCACATTATAGTAATCATAGATATCATTAGCATAAGAATCCAAGGTTTTATCATCATTAAATTTGCATGAAAAGGGAAGGTGTGGAACCTTCATCCTAGAGCAACAAGTATAATCATATCTCAAGCATAGTGGCCTAGCATACCAATGCAACATATCAATTTGATCCCATAATAGTTTCCCTTTTTGAGTGAAGGGATAATCCCTAAAGTATTCACGTTGATCCAACGTGTCTCCCATAACATAATTGAATGGGGTTTTCTCAGGATTATCAAAGTATACATAATATTTTTCACATAACCAACATCGAGGGTTTTAGGAGGTTCCCCATCTCCGTGAGTAGCAAGTACACCTATTTTTTTGGTTTTCTGTGTTCCATATCCATAACTAAAGATAGAGAACAACTTAGAACAACAAATAAAATCTACTTAGTGATAAAGCAAACAAGCACACATGAGAATATTCACCCCACGCTATGACTCCCCGGCAACGGTGCGAGAAAAAGGTCTTGATAACCCACAAGTATAGGGATCAATTGTAGCCTCTTTCAATAAGTAAGAGTGTCGAACCCAACGAGGAGCTAAAGGTAGAACAAATATTCCCGATACAACTCTACGTACGCTTAACGTTCGCTTTACCTAGAACAAGTATGAAACTAGAAGGACTTTGTAGGTGTTGTTGAATAGGTTTGCAACTATATAAAGAGCACGTAAATAAAAACTAGGGGCTGTTTAGATAAAGAAGCAATAAAGTTAGTATAGCGAGTGTGGAAAAGTGGTGGTAGGAGTTGAGAAATTGTCCCTAAGCAATTGACTACTTTACTAGACCGATAGCAAGTTTTATGTTTGAGAGGCCACTGCTAGCATGTCATCCCTGACTTGGAATTTTATGCACTTATGATTGGAACTATTAGCAAGCATCGGCAACTACTAACGTTCATTAAGGTAAAACCCAACCATAACATTAAGATATATTGGTCCCCCTTCATTCCCGTATGCATCAATTTCTATGCTCGGCTGAAGCTTCTGTCACTCTTGCCCTCCAATACATAGTCCTATCAACATACAACTAACCCTATGGTGTGATCCACGCGCGCGCTCATATGATGGGCACCAAAGGACAGCAACATAACCACAAGCAAATTAAACCAATCATAGCAATTCACCAATTACCGAAAGGACAACGCAAATCTACTCAGACATCATAGGATGACAACACATCATTGGATAATAATATGAAGCATAAAGCACCATGTTCAAGTAGAGGGTACTGCGGGTTGCGGGATAGTGGACCGCTGAATATAGATGGGGGAAGGTGATGGAGATGTTGGTGAAGATGACGGCGGTGTTGGTGTAGATTGCGGTGATGATGATGGCCCCCGGAGGCGTTCCGGTGCCACCGGAAGCGAGGGGGAGTGAGCCCCCCTTCTTCTTCTTCTTCCTTGGCCTTCTCCCTAGATGGGAGAAGGGTTTCCTCTCTGGTCCATGGTCTCCATGGCGTGGGAGGGGCGAGAGCCCCTCCGAGATTGGATCTGTCTCTCTGTCTCTCTGTCTCTCTCTGTTTCTACGTTCCTGATTCGGCCCTTTCACCGTTTCTTATATATCCGTAGATCCTAACTCCAATTGGATTGAAACCCTCAACAAGATTTTTTTCCGAAAATTAGTTTTCTTGCGGTCAAAGAAGAGCAGCAACCGCCTGACGAGGTGCCCACGAGGGTCAGGGGCGCGCCCACCCCCATGGGGTGCGCCCTCTGCCTCGTGGCCCCCTCGGGCACCGTCGCGTGTTGATTCTTCTTCGCAAATATCACAAATATTCCAAAAATATTCTCCGTCCGTTTTTATCCCATTTGGACTTCGTTTAATATGGGGTTTCTGCAAAACATAAAACATGCAACAAACAGGAACTGGCGCTGGGCACTGGATCAGTATGTTAGTCCTAAAAATAGTATAAAAAGTTGCCCAAAGTATGTGAAAGTTGAATAATATTGGCATGGAACAATCAAAAATTATAGATACGACGGAGACGTATCAGGCAACGTGAGGAAGTGGAGACGCCCATGTCCCATCAATCGCCACACTCGTTCAAGGCCGCAGGCGGTTAGGGCCCGCGGCGCTCCGCACTTGCCCCTTGGCTTCACCTAGAAGCCAAGTCCGAGCGCGCCTTGGGCCCGGGGGCTACTGTCGGCGTTTTGTATATGGGGGTACCCAGACTTGCATGCCTACGGCCCACTGCGTGGCTCCATCGACGGCCTGGTACGGCCCAGCTTCAGCAGCAGCAGCTCAAGACCCTTGCGAGGCGGACGACACCAAGACCTCTAAGGGGATCAACCTCCTCAGGCTGGCTCCCGAGGAGCAGAGACTTCTATGCAAGGTGCACCTCACGAGGCTCAGCTGACGTGGGCCATGACGACCAAGGCTAGGCGGGCGCCATCGAGCGCAGAGTACCAGTTTCCTCTTTGGTGTAAAGGAGGCAAGCAGCAGGTGCAGAGTCCCGAAGGATCAGCTAATGGTTTCTATTGTGGTGCAACAAGACCAAGACCGCCAGGACGGCAGGACAAATGTCATCGCCGAGCCCACCGCAGCGTCACGACCAGAGGCTTTTGCAGGCGAAGACCAGTTTAGTCAGAATAGGGTGTACTTCTTGTCCCCCTTCAAATCTTCCCGTTGTGGGATCTCTTTCCGCCAATATTTCGGAAGAGGAACAAGCCACTATAAATAGGACTTAGCCACCACCAAAGAAGAGGACGGATCCGAACGGAGCGAAGCAATTCCTCCTTCACCAGCTCACCCGAGCTCAAGAACACCTCATCTCTTGAGGCTGTTCATCCACTGTACTAGTTCATCCTCAGCCCCTCGAGGCAATCCACCAAAAGGCTGGAGTAGGGTATTACACCGCAAGGTGGCCCGAACCAGGATAAACTGTTGTGTCTCTCTGTCTCTTTGAGCTCACGCGCTAGGCTGTGAGGATCGCGAGTAGGCAGGCTGGGTAGGTTGAGATCTCCACACGCACCCGAGTGTTCGAACCTCTGAAGGGTTTGCGGAACACGAAATCCGACAGTACGTGTTGAGTTCATAGGGATGAGCGTATGTGAGCATCTACATTTGCACTAATACTAAAAAAATACACAAGTTAGTTTTTGCGTATGCCCTAACAAAACAATTAGATAGAAACTTAATTAGCCCTACATGTGTAAAAATATAAAATTTTAAAAACTTGTAGCCGTGGATTTTCTGTCCCGTGTTTGGTTACAGCGGGCCCGGGGCCCGTAATCAGATTACGATTTCCCAACCTTTATATCCCTTCTTTTTACTGTCACCCGTGTCGAAATTTCACCAACCTTCACTGCATCAATCATGGACGCCTTCTGCTTTCCAAAAATCGGCCTAAACTGCGTGTCGATGATATAACATGCTAGTTCAAAGATTCTCCCTTCACTTTGCGTACACGTACACTTCACAATTTTGGTGCCAAAAAGACTCCCGTTGCCTCTTTTGGCCCAACGACGGCACAGGCCTCGGCTGCGCATGTGAGGAAAGCACGAAAACCACCATGGACCCGGCGCACACGGACCTTTCCACGGCATGGAGAACGATCGTCGGGCAGGCGGCGCCACACGTAGGCTCCGCATGGGATCCCACGGGCAGGCCCCACGTGCCCCTACCGCGCCCGCCCCTCGAGCTATAAGTACCCGCGCTTATCCCACTCCGGTTCCACCCACCTTAAGCTCTGAGAAGCTACCACACACACACACACGCACCGCGCACGAACGCACGCGCGCACCCCCTGAAGGCCAGCTGCCTGTGCCCGTGCGCCGTCTCGCCGGAGCTTGGCGTTGGAACGAGACCGGGAGCTTGCGGGCTTCGCGTACGTTACACGAGCTCTCAGCTGGTTCTCCGGCCGGGCTTGCTTGTTTGGCCGTGCGCAGCGCGCCGAGTGACATGACGACGAGCCAGGACGTGGTTGTTTCGGAGATGGGCATTGGGGCGGGTGGGGCGGCCATGCCGGGCTCCGGCGCCGCGGGCCTCTTCGCGTGCCGCAGCGCCGCCAGCGCCGGAGCCATGTCCATGCGGCAGACGTACCGCGACCTCGCCGCCGCCGCCTCGCGCTCCGCGAACTGCACATGGGCCGAGCTCGAGGCCATGCGCGCCGCCTCGCCCACCCGCTCCCGCCCCGGCACCGACGTCGACGAGCTCACGGCCTGGATGGTCAGTCCTGCTCATCCCTCCTGCCTCCACGGCGCGCGTCGTTTTTTCACGGTGCATGGCTGTTGCCTCCAGGCCGGTGGTGATTCTAACCTTTCTTTGGTTCTCTTGTGCTCTGAGCAGAGGAAGCACCCGTCGGCGCTAGGCAAGTTCGAGCAAATCGCCAGCGCGTCCAAGGGGAAGAAGATCGTCATGTTCCTGGACTACGACGGCACCCTCTCGCCCATCGTCGCCAACCCCGACGCCGCCTACATGAGCGACGCGGTAAGTCACTCCCCGCCCCTGCAACATACAACGTTTCCACGGCCGTCCGGCCAGCCTGAAAGAAAAATAAAACCAAGGCTATGTTTGCTGATCGATGTCGTCTCCCCGGCCTCGTGGTGCTGTATTTGTGCAGATGAGGGAGGCGGTGCGCGACGTTGCCAAGCACTTCCCGACGGCGATCGTGAGCGGGCGGTGCCGCGACAAGGTACATTCCCCGGGCCACTTCACCTCTCTCTCTCTCTCTCTCTCTCT